AGTGATTGTGTGGAGGGTATGCATGAGTCCAGTGACTGGACCTTTGGGTGTCCAAACATTTGGTCTCACATTATTCTGGGTGTGTCTGTGAGAGTGTTTCTGGATAATTATGCAGGTACATTTTCATTTCTACATGTACTGGAAACATTCAATACCCTGGAGGCTTTCCCCTCGTCATTTAACTCTGAGCTTGGTGTCTAGGCTAGAATGATCACATTAGTTGGATCCTTAGCCCTTTGTCTTCTAATTCTGAGAGCCCCAAATCACACATTTAATTCCCCATAGGAAGACAGGCCAAAGGCCTTTCAAAAACAATTAGATTGCCTGGCCATCCTAACAGCCTGAGTGCCTGTGGCTTTGCGGCTGCCCTATCATAATATTGATTAATCTTTCATGTAACAGAGAAACAGTCTTGAGTACCTACTTGTGCCTTCATTATTAATGGGCTCCTAGCCATTGCTGATGGAATCTTGAGCAGCTTGTTTATCTGGTAGAAATGATTACCAAAAATAAATAAATAAATAAATAAATAAAAAGCCTGACACATTTCCTGGTGTAGAGCTCATTTAAAAATCATCTTACATTTGAATGCTGCCAGAGAATAACATTCTCTAAAAATGTAAACAAAAGCAGATGTTAAAATAACATACCTTCATGAAACAAAAAAAGTGCACTAATTCCTAGTTATTATTCTCCTACAAACATTTTTTTTCCTGAAAAGTCTTATATTTATTTTAATAATGTCACCAGTATATTGACATACTTTTCTTACATGTAGGTTCATAAACAAATACTTATTTTTAAAAGCATTTTTAAAATTGATTTCAGAGAAGAGGGAGAGGGAGAGATAGAAACAGCAATGATGAGAATCATTGATTGGCTGCCTCCTGCATGCTCCCTACTGGGGAATCAAGCCCACAACCTGGGCATGTGCCCTAATTGGGAATTGAACTTTGACCTCTTGGTTCATAGGTCAATGCTTAACCACTAAACAACACCGACTAGACATACAAACACTTATTTTAGCACTTCCTAGGTGTCAGGCAGGATCATAAGACCATTAAGAGTAGTATATTAATTTAACCCTTATGTAACCACCATGATATAGATACTACCATAATTTCTATTTTATAGATTGGGAAACTGGACCAGAGAGATTAGGAAACCTGCTCAAGGTAACAGCTAAGCATGTTATAGGCAGGATTTGAACCCAGGGATCTGGCTTCAGTGCCCATACTGTTGTTTGCTCTCTGGTCTGTACTGGTGATTTAGTGGTAAGTAAATGAGGTAATATTGGGGGTGACATTAACTGAGAGGCTTTTGCTATGATGTCAATGAGGTAGGGTCACATGTGGAATCAGTGTAGTAATGGGGGAGCTCAGACACTGCAGTCCATGTAGTTCTGGGTTCAAAATCACTGTACCACTTACCAGATGGGTGTTCCTAGTCCTGACACTTCGCTCCACTTCTTCTGGGAATATCATACATGCCCCCCTTGGCAGGGCATGGCCTCGTGGTGAGTCAGGTATACTTCCTGAGCTTGTAACTTGAGGATTGGCCAAGTAACTTGCTCACTCTGAGAAACATATACTCTGGGTGACCATTATCTCTCCTGCCAGTGCCCAATTTGGGATAGAGTAGAGAGGAGCCACCACAGCTAACCTGCAGTTATATGAGTGAGATGTAAATACTGTTGTATGACTCATCTAGACTTGTCTATTTTACTAAGTGAGAAGTGAGGATAAGTCTTGTTTTGTCAACTGAAAGGGGGCATATATCTCCCTCTTAGTGAAGCTGTGAAAACTTAGATAATAGTACAAATGAATGTTATGAAGTAAAGCTTTTTTTAAGTTTCTATCATTAAGGGATTAGTAATGAAGTTAGAATCAACATTAACATTTTCAACATTTACAAAGGGAAACATACAATTATGGTAAGATATTCCTTCTGTTGATATAATATTCAAATAAGCAAGTTTTACTCAAGTCTGGTTAAACACTATTTAAAAATACCTACTTGCTTACAAATCATTATTTAGGCATTAGGGAAGGTTTTTTTTTTTTTTTTTAACATACAATTAATTTCATATCTTTGAAAACAATGAATTGCTTTCCTTTTAACTTTTTTTTTAAAACCTGCTCAATATAACCATTCCAGCCTACTAAATTCATGGTATATATTTTTCACAATGTATATATTTCACTTCAATAGTATAATTTATGTAGATGCAGCAATTTCTAGGCCTCATGAAAATTAGTTAAAACTTTCAAATCTTGACTTTACCTAGAAAATATTTTCAAAGTATAACATATACATGTATGTCTAATGCAGAGTTCCAATGTGATTTAATGATTCAAAGGGGATGTAAACAAAAAGGGGGTAGGTTGTAGGTTGTTTGCTTGGCTTGCATAATCCAGTACAACCTCAAGCTTCTTTATAACATTTATATAGTCCCTTTCCACACATTTACAAAATTTAATAAACGAAGTCTCCAGCCAAGCAGAGAATGTGGAAATTGTGCATCCTTTTTTTTTTTTTTTTTTTTTTTTTTTTTTTTTTTTTTTTTTTTTTTTACAATGAATCCTGTGGGATATTTAAAACAGATATAAAGGGAAGATAATGAGTAGCTCTGTTGCTATGTTCTGCACTAATATTAATGGACAGCATCCAAGGGTAATTCTTCCACTCTAGCTTAGTTATAAAATGCTGATGAGGTTTTCATGTCATAATTAGCATGCTTTCAATTATTTTATCTTTTACCTCTGGGTCAAAATCTGGCCTATTGACTACGTTTTGTCAACGAGTTAACCACAATTTTAAGTGGTGTGTAATTATAACAGTGTTATTGGCCATTTATTCTACAGTACAAACAAATCACACATATTATACAAGATGGCAGATTGCTAGCCTATTAAAGTTAGAGGTGTGCTGAGGTGTGATGTTATCCAATTTCTATGGTGTAAATATTCCCACTGTGGCTGATTTTAAGCTATCATTTGGCAACAGGCTCTCAAAATTTCTATATATGTAACAATTTTGCAAACCAGTCCTCGCTGGCGCCAGCATATCACTGAATAGCTGATACTTATCTATACTGGATTTTTATGTTGGAATAATAACACTTTTAATTATCCTGCAATATCTTCATTCAGCTACACCTCACCCATTAAAAGAATGACCTTATGTATGACTGTTAAGGGCACTTTACAACAGTATTTATGATAATTTAAGTCATAAGCTATTTTTAGAAGCTAATCAAAGTATATATCTTATTGCCAAGAAAAAAAAGTACAAATTAATAATTAAAACGTCAATTTCAGGAGATTCTTGGTCCTTCTGACACTTGTTTATAAGTCTCAGATTAGGAATTTCTGCTATCTCTCTGGTCTACCAACTAATTGGGCAAGCAACCTTTTGAATGTCAGAGCTTCAGTTCACTGAGTGTGAATTAGTAGAGAGCTCAAAAGTCACTTTCTCATTGCAGAAGAGTTAAATTGCCAACATTTATCACACTGACCTCTTCTATCATTATTCTAAAATTCAGAGATAACAAGGAATTCACGAGGTTAGCTATGATAGAGTTGAAAATTTAGTGTCTCTCTTTGTTCTACTAATTTTGTATGAACTTTATACAAACTAACTCTAGGACATGTGTATTTCAATTTTTACTTTAAAATATAACTTCCCATATGTAATCATGTGCTTAATTAAACTTACTTCCCCCTGACTTGGCCAAATACCTTTTTTTAAAAATATAGTTTCATATAGTTTGTAATTGTATTTTGTAGCACATTTCACAATTAGATTTGAATAAATACACTCTGTAATGTTTTTCAAAAACAATTATCTTCTATTAGATGCAAACTTTCAGATTCAGGGAATTCATAACCTGGAGCATGCACTTCACCTGCTGTGTACTTAGTTAAGATCTGTTGAATGAAAGAGTTAATGAGTTAGTGATAATTTGGGGATTGTAAATTTTTAGGAAAAAAAGGTAAGTGAGGAGAAAAATAAAAAAGAGCCCAAAGTTTTAATCAAACAGCCAATTTACTAACTTCAGTGTTATTTCTTTTTCTATGCATCCACCTATAACAGCAGCATTTTTAGGCCTGGTCATTGGGAGTTGATGTTAAGGATAATAACCCTCTTAGAACTTCATTAAGAATGTGCCTTAAAAGGCAAGAAGGAAACCCATTCCTCCTCCATTTCTGAAGTTTTGTTTTGCCAAGTCTTTTCAACTTAACTCACAAATGACCAGACAGTTCTGCTCACAAAAATAAATCATCACGGGAGAATTTTAATTCATTAAAATTTGGCTTGTGATTAGCAAAGCAAATTTTAAAAAATATCGAATCCCTTTGGAGATGCCTGTTCAGTTAAGAAATGTTGACATCAGAGACCATGACCCCAATTTTTCAATAGGATGGTTCATTCAATTTAGGAAAAAATCGTAGATTAAAAGCTAGAACTGGCATATCTCAGCATCAGTGAACCCGGGAACTGAGAAGGGCCTTCTTGCACTGCAGGCATAGCAGGTACACTGTTATAAACTCACCTAATTAAATGGCCATCTGAAGTCAGGCATCCGTCAGAAACAGAATCTGGTTCTCTTTGAAGCTGTTGTTTGGCTCAGTATATTGGAATGTGAAGTCAACTCACTTTCCATGTATTTACTGAACACCTACAATTGTAATAGATATATTTCCAGGGTTTTAGCAAGAGCAAAAATGAACACAAGATACCCCATATCTTTGATCCATTTACATTCTGACAAAGCAGGAATATAAATCTCAGAAATACAAAGCAGAGTGAAGAAAAAGCTTACAAGACATAAAGTGACAGAGAATTCAGATACCACATTTATCAAATACATTAAACAAGGTTTCATAGAAGAGGTACAACATTGTGATGGACATTGAAGGATAGGTAGGATAGAAAAAGATGGAGATTGGCGATAAAAAGGGAAATCTATAAGCAAATATGTGCAGCTGAGAAAATTGCTATGTATTTTCATAAGAAGGTCAAATAATACAGTTTATTGAGATGATGTGATAGAAGATGAGTCAGGAAAGTAGGTTTTTCCCATATTATACATGAGGAGTATTATATAGGCAATGCAGGACTGAGCAGCTGAAAATAATGGGTTTGAGACCAGTAGTTACCATTTGACTTGTCTTTTTATCAAGATAGTAGTAGAACACACTTCTCTTTATGAAGTTAGATTATAGAAATCCAAGTCTAGACCAAATTGTAAAAATAACTAAGTTTGTGCTCGGTATAGTTTATGTATCTTACGATCTTCCACCTTAGCCTTCTATCTCATCCCCTTCTTCTCTAGGTAGAACTTGTATCTAATTGAATTCCTGGTGAGGACCTACTTATAATAACTTGGGCATGGGGATGGTGGGGGTAATAGTTGTAAGGATCATTCCCATGTTATCAGAAAGATTCTTCTAAAAGTACAAGTCTTCAGACTGAAGGAATCACATTATGATGGCAGAATATGAGGCAGTTGGGAAAGTAGTTTGCTTTGGAGGAACTCTGGCATGGACCCTTCAAATCACAGGAAAGAAAACCATATCTACATGCCTTCCTTCTGGGGCTGACAGGGACCATTAGTTGATAGAGTGACCACAGCCTGACTCAGAGTGAGGATGACTCAGGAAAAACCATTTGGACGAGTGTAAAATACTCAAAGTATAGCTATCCTACTTTGCTAGTCATGTTCTCTTCATCAACAAGTGAAGGGGCCTCAGGCTGTCAGGAGGTTGTGGGTTTTAGATCCATATTTCAGTAGGGATTTCCACATTTGTTTAAAAATACACCTACAAATGGATATATAAGTTCAGAGAGCCATTTTCCTCCTCATTATCACATATGAAGGCATAAGTTATCGGCTGACTTAACTGTGAAGGCAGACAGGAATGTCAATTTTTTGAGAGTTCCTTTCATGCGGTCTGTTCCGAATAGTGCACTGTGTGGAGGTGATTGCTGCTGATGGACAGCTGACAGGGGAAGTGGGGGCCCGCCTCTTCAGTCAGCTCCATAAGATGACATTCTGTCAGGAAGATGTTCCGCTGGACAGGTGGCCCTTGTGGGTGTTGCTGGGGGTGCCACTGTTTGCAGGAAGGAAAGATCACACTCCTGAATGCTGCTCGGAATCGACGAGAGAGTAGGTTATAGATAATGGGGTTGACAGCTGAGCTCAGATAGAAGAAGACACCTGGAATGCAGGGGTTAAATAGACACACCGAGGAGATATTGAGTGAGAGGCATGCTAGGAAGAAGCATAAATGTTTAACAAAACCTAGAATCCCCATGATTGCCTATTTTGGAAGTGATAATATATACAAGACACTAATTGAGGATACAAAATGCTCTACCAACTGTGTACATAGGAATCAAACGCAGAAAGATCAAAGAATCTTGGCAAATTTTAGGCCAGCAAGGGATCTCTCTGAGATGTTCTGCAACTTCCTTTGATCCACACTTGTTTAATTAAAGAGCATGTTCCCACGGCATTAACGAGAAATGCTTAACTATCAGAGGAAGAGAGATGTTTTTGTCTCATTGGAATTGTGCTTAAATCTATAATTTGAAACTTGTAAGCCATGGAGGAATGGTAAGTCAGTCAAGGCATTGTCCCTGCTGAGATTCCTTATATGTTTAATATCTCTTCAAAGAAATATTCCCAGTGCCTCTTCTTATTTCGCTTTTTCCTTCCATGGTTCTTCCCACCTAGTTTCCAACCTTATTAAATAACTGCATTTTGCCATTTATTTTCTCTACCAAGTGCCTTACACACTGTCACTTTCTTGTTTGTTATATGCTCATCCTTTATTACCATATCTTATTTTATTTCCCCAAAGCCCACGAGGAGCCTAAGGTTGAGAATCACAGGACTTAGTTTCCGATCTTGGCCTTTGCTTATTCCAAGACTTCAGGCAGAATTGGCACTTCAATTTTTCTCTCTATATAAAATGGGAATTACAATACAAGCCTAACTCACCTATCTGCATCATTGTGAGGATAAAGTTGAGATACTATCCACAGAGGGGCTGGGAATGGTTGAGAATATAAAGTAAGTGACAGGTACTATACTGTCATCAACATGCTCATCATTGTCCTCATTTATTTAGTTCAGAACATGAAAAGTGGCATAGGCCCTGTGCACAGAATTGGGAATAAAGGAATAGAGAAGGAAAACATTTCTATGGACTATTAATTCATTCAATAAATAAATATTGATTGAACTCTTATTAAGTGCCAGGAACTTTGAGGTACATTAGGAGGTAATGGATTTAGAATTTGTTTTCCAAGAACTTGGAATAGTGTTACAGAGGCAAGATCTCTGCCCTACATCAATAATTAATAATAGAGTGATACCAAACAATATCTATCAAGAGCAAAATATGTCATACCAACAGCCATGTTATAAAAATTCACATAATGGCATAACTGTAAAGAGTATGATGGTTATGAATGATTTAATGGTGGGTGATCAAATTCCAGCCAGACCCTGAAATGCGTAGGAGAGTTGGGCAAGAGAGGAGTGAGTTCTGAAGGTAGAAAGTAAAGCATGCACAAATATGCAGAGGCAGCAATCTTTATGCCCTAGCCATTTTGGCTAAATGAATAGAGCATCAGTCTGAGGACTGAAGGGTCCTGATCTTGATTTTGGTCAAGGGCATATGCCTGGGTTGCAGGCTTGATCCTCAGTAGAGGGGCATGCAAGAGGCAGCTGATCAATGATTCTTTCTCATCATTGATGTTTTTATCTCTCTCTCCCTCTAAAATCAATAAAATATATTTAAAATATATATTGCAGGAATAATGCAGAGTGTGCATAACTCTCTAATCAGCTGGTTTGACAAGCATAAGGTCAATGATTGGAACTATTATAACTTATTATAACTTGGGGATCAAAAGGCTGGTTGGAGACGTTTTCTGTAGTGTTTAAGGTTTCACTTGGCCGGTACTAAAGGGGAGGGAGAGATTACATTTTAACAGGAAAATGTTATAAATACCGTAATTTGGAAGTCTTAAAATGGTCATTTTGTTACATTTAGAGAGGGATAGTCAGCTATTCAAGCCTCAGGTGATCTTGTGGTGTTTTCCAGTTTATTTAGACGCCCCATTTTTCTCAGATTATCTTGAAAATAAGAACTATAATCTGAAATTTTTGTTTAAAATAATAGCTTAACATAACAGTAAATTCTAATGTTCAAGTATAAGCTGTACACAAGGCCTGTTGAAAATAAAAAGAGAGTGAAGAAAATAAATAATTAAATGATATTCAATAAACATATGAATACTATTGCTTTAGCACTGTGCACATCTGGAGCTTAATTTGCACAAATTGATCTTACCTTGCCTCTCTGAACCAGCTGGTGACTAGGAGAAGCAGAGGGACAGAAGTGGTGTGAACCCAAGGCTCACAGACACACTGACTGAGAAAGGGGAACTACATGGCCATTCTCAGCTCTATTTTGGGCTCAAGAACTCTGAACTTGAAGTTAGATGATTTTGCCCCAACCCTGCTTTTACTATTTGTCAGAAGTATGCCTTTGGGCAAGCCTTTTTTTTTTTCTTGTGGAATTGTTTCTTCAACAGTAAAATGGTGATGATAATATGTGGTGATTATAGAAAAATATATGGCATTTTACAGTTTAAAATTTCTTAGTAGCTAATATTTTATTTGCTTCTTTCCATTAGCCCATATTTAAACAGGGAAGGTGTTATTGCCATTTTACAGTTGAGGAAACTGGCATAAAGGAAGCCATGGTCTTCAGAAAACTAATGGTGGAAGTGAGATGCAAATCCAGGTCCTCTTACTTAGTGACCTTCCCTCCCCATTCTCTAGTATGTTCAACAAGCAGCGTTAAAGTAGCCTACAGGCAGACCCCGACGCACCATGAATATAGTAATACCCTTTGGTTGGTTTTCATGAGAATCTAACACTTGATAAAAACAATACAAGATTTCAAGGGCATAGATATTTAATAAATAGGAATTAATTCAATCATGTGGTCATTGGAAAGAATATCAAGGCAGTCACTCCTTAGACCATTTTTCTACTGTAGTCATCATGCTTAGAGTTGTGGTCTTCCATAGAGTAACATCTAAAGCAGTGATCCGGTGTATTTCTTTTGGACCAGTAACATACTTAATTGGTATTTAAATAAAATAAAAAATCAAGTGACTTCATAATAGTATAGTAGGCCCCCATGATAAATCAGTAGATCCAGACAGAACCTACTGCTCTGAGCAAAATAAAGAAGCTTCGTTTACCCGTATACTTATGATGCAACCAAAGGAACTAAGATTTTACCTGACACCACATGGATGAGGTTGAACACAACAGCCAGGGATTCAGTCCATTCCTCCACAAAGCTGAAGAAGAGCCGGTCAATGTGGAATGGGGTCCAACAGATAGCAAACACTAAGACCAAGACAACTGAAAAAGAAGGATGAATGGGAGAACAAAAGGCAGTCAAAACAAGGATAAGTATCTAATGGCTACTATGGTAAGTCCATCCATTCCTCCCAGCATTTTCCCTTCCCTCTTGTTATCATTATTACAGACTAACTAGGTCTTATTTAAATATAAGAGTGAATTATATAGAATTTAGGATCAGTTTTTTTACATGATTGTATAAGATTTCTTATATAATGTAAGTCTCCTTTAGAACATTTTAAATAGTATCAAATTCATTCCAATTCATTCTATTGTGAGAAATGAATTATATTGCAAGTAGACCATTGGAACCACATAAATTGGCTATATAAATAAAATGATTGGGTTCAAGCATTTGATCATTGATTAATAAAAAATATTGACTATGGTATGAATATTTGTTACTCTAGAAAGAACTAAAATCTGCTCTGAATCTAATCATTTAAAATTTTGTAAGGGGTAAGAGAGAAAGAGAACAATCATAAGTATACTAATCCTTTATAAGCATTTTTTTATTGGGACAAGGGATGTGTCTATTATATTAGATGTTCCTAGACTACAGAATTATTTCTAGTTTCTTTTTATTTGGTTTAGTTTTTATTTTGAAATAATATAGATTCACAAGAAATTGTACCTTCTAGTTTCTTATTTTCAGCTCCCATGACAGCCATTGGTGCTACTGCAGTTACTCTATGGGGCATTTAATCTCCACACATATAAATATATATATTTTTTCTTCTTCTGAAGTTATAAAATACTTTCCTTTTCCAAAACATGATGCTTGAGATTTGCTTCAAAATATTCTTTTAGGGGCAAGTGAGAGACAGTGATATAGATGGAACAAGATTTGTTATGAGTTGATAATGTTTGAGGTTGGGTAATGGTATATGGGTGTTTATTTTTACAGGTCTCTGTACCTGTGAGCACATTTGAGGTTTCTGTTGTCAGTAGTACATACATTTACTTTGGCATTAAACATATTCAGAGTTAAGTTATTTATCTGTGTGGTGTGGTTTCAGGAATATCTGGAAATTTCTTCTGAGTTTACCTCTCCAAGAAAAAGTCCCTAATCTGCTCACTACTGCCTACAATTCCCCACAATTAAAATTTTAATTGCTTTAAAAAAACGAACCCTCCATACTAAAGGCAAATGCTTTGCAGCATATTTTATCATTATGATTTTAACATAAATGCACTTCAAGTCTTTTTGTGAGAGTAGATTACAATCAAGGAGAAAAGGGAGCGATAATAAAGACATGAGATTTCTTAACAGGGAAAGTCAAGTGCCTACAGGGACTAAAACATTTTCAAGAAGATGAGTCTTAGAGTTGAAATGACAAATTTTGGTGACTTTCACAGGTTTAATTTTTTGTTCGTAAGCAACATATAGTTATGGTGAGTGTTTCATGTACATATTAGCCTGGAGGATTTGTTTTTTCCAAACCTTAGGTTTTGACTTGGAAAGTATATCATAAACCTCTTTTCTCTCATTACTATCTATCTCCTATAGGGTAGTGCTGGATCAAATATTTTTTATCAAATGCTTTTGGAGAGTGTAGTTATGTATTTTTAAAAAATTATTTATATAAAATCATGCAGTGTCATAGGTGGAATGACCACATAGGGGTACTCTTGAACAGCTGTTCTTAATCTGGAGGTAAAGTATTTCATGGAGTCCAAGAAAAGGTAGTAGGGGTTTCATGATCCCCTAAAATGAGTTATAAAATGTTTGTGTATGTAATTTGTGCATTTTCTAAATGGCGCACTCATCGTTTTTTATATTTTAAAACAAATCCATAAAAAATAATTTTAAAAACATCTGCTTACTTTAGAGGGAGAAAGAGATACTCAAAAGCTCGTAGAGTGGATGTGATTTGTGCCAAAAAGCACACAGGACATTACAGTGAATGCAATTTAGTGTGTTGTTTTGAGTGTTAAAAATGGAACTAGGAATCAAAGAGGTCCTAGAAAATTTGAGTAAGCCATAGAAGACCAGACCATGATTTACATTTCAGGAGAATTTTGATCCTGGTACTCAGAAGCACTTTCTTAGCACCAAATGCAACTCTTTTTCTTTTATAAACACAGACAAACAAACAAAACCAAAATGGAGGACTTACATAGCATTTTGGTGACTGATTTTCTGTAGGGTCTTTGAATATTTGCAGTTATTTTGTCTTCCTCAAGGGTTTGGTCTTTCTTTAGCTGCAAGAGAAGTGAAAAGAAATGTTAAGAAAGAAAACATTCTCCCTTCTGTTAGGATCTGAGAAGTGTAACTCTAACACTCATTCTTAGACCAAAAATTGGGAATTAAAATAAATGTAAGAATTTGTCAAAGTTTAATATTAAGTTGGAGGTGAATCTAGATAATCTAACTCAACTGGACAGGTGGATGTAGTCAAGTTGCATTACAACCATTTATTATCTTCTATTTTATAGAACCCTTGTTATATATGGCATGTTAATAGGCCACATATAATTTTCTATGAAAAATGTGAAGTTATGAAGTAAAAAAAGTTATATAGGCATTTCCATATAATAAAGGCTGAAGTGACCATTACAGCGGAACAACCAGAATGACTGATTGCTATGATGCTCAATGACCACCAGGGGGCAGACGCTCAATGCAGGAGCTGCCCCCTGGTAATTAGTGCAGTCCCACAGGGAAAGCACTGCTCATCCAGAAGTGGGTTCAAGGCTGGTGAATGCAGTGATGGTGGTGGGAGCCTCTCTTGCCTCTGCAGCAATGCTAAGGAGCAGCGAGCAGGAGGGCAGGGCAGGCAGTAAGGAGCAAGGGGTCCCAGACTGTGAGAGGGATGTCTGACTGCTGGCTTAGACTCCCTCTCCTCAGACATCCCATAAGGTGTTCTGGATTGCAAGAGGACGCAGGCTGGGCTGAGGGACCTCCTCCCTCCCCAGTGCACAAATTTCATGCACTGGGCCTCTAGTTCATTTGGTAATTATTATACATCTATGAGGATGTAATCCTTCTGCTATGTGGTGGATTGGCAGTAGAAAGCTTAAACAGGTATTACTTCTGTTTTATAAATTCTATAGTCTCAATTGTGGGTCTTCCCAGAGTCTTTAATATGCTAATAGGCCCTATGAATCTTCATAAAGCATTATATATCACCATTCTCCCATGCCCACCTTCCACACCCTACATCTCTCACCCCAGCCTCAAAGGAGATGTTTCTCTGACTAAACAATACTTTTCCCAAACTCCTTTTAGTGGAATACCTAGTACCATCTTGAAAAACACAACTTGGGAAATTCTACTTTACTAATATTACAACAAGAGTGCATATGTTTCTCAGTTTAGAAATTATAAATACTCATTCTTATTGGGAGAGGTAATGATTCTTTAAGCAGTATCTGAACATTTCTTTAAAAAATATATTTTTATTGGGTTTTAGAGAGAGAGGAAAGAAGAGGGAGAGAGACAAATATCCATTGGCTGCCTCTTGCATACCCCCTACTGGGGATCGAGCCTGCAACCCGGCACATGCCCTGACTGGGAATCAAACTGGCACCTTCTTGGTACATGGTTTGACACTCAACCAACTGAGCAATGTGTCTACAATCTGAACACATTCTTTTAAATTTAAAAAAGTTCAACTCTGGTTGGCATGGCTGAATTCTGTTGCAATCCATAATGCATGCTCCTCAACTCAAGCATTAATGCTGTATGCAGAAGATACAAGGAGTTTGTGAGAGCTTCAGTGAACCTCCTCCCAGATGGGAGGAACTTGTCCTGTGATTGGATATTTTCCATCTCTATCATGTTTGATATTTGGTTAATACCATCTCATCCAGATGCTCTGTGGAGACTTGTATCCTGGAAGGAAGCTGCACTAACTACTCAGTTTTGAGCATATACGTGGCTCTCCTCCTCCTTCCCCCATCCTGGATTTCACCAACCTATGGTTTCCCACCTCCTGAAGTCAGTGGGTTCCAGAGTTTATCATAACTTAAGATTTGCTAAGGGAATCAATAACAATCATCCTCAGAGTTGCTTAAGTCTCTTTAAAACCTTTTAGATCAAAATAGCCCTATGAGTTTGTTTCCAAGTCTCTTGTTTTGAAGGTAAAGAAGCTAAAGTCCAGCTAGGATGGGAATAATTCAACTTCATTCATTCATTCATGCACTCATTCATTCATCTTACAGTCAAGTTGGAGAGAAAGATAACAAGGAATATCCAAATATAGAATTCTAAATTGGAATAAATCTAAGGAAGAAAAATCACCAGGAACCATGAGCACCTATACAAGGTCCAAGTGTAGGTAGGAAATCAGGGAAAGCTTCCCTGAGGAAGTGTGGGCATGATTTAAAGTGAGAGTTAGAAAGGTAAAAGAGAGCCAAAACCGGTTTGGTTCAGTGGTACAGCGTCGGTCTGCGGACTGAAAGGTCCCGGGTTCGATTCCAGTCAAGGGCATGTACTTTGGCTGTGGGCACATTCCCAGTGGGGGATGTGCAGGAGGTAGCTGGTTGATGTTTCTCTCTAATCGGCGTTTCTGGCTCTCTCTCTCCCTTCTTCTCTGTAAAAAATCAATAAAATATATTAAATAAAAAAAAGAAAAGAAAGGTAAAAGAAATTGTAGTGATAGATGGCAGAAACATTCAGGCAAAGATAGAGCAAATATAGCATGTGCCAGGTCCGGAGCCCAAGGACACAGACTAAGATCTATCTCCTGTCTTTAAACTCCTCTAGGAGTGACTTTCTAAGCAGGGAATTTCTTCATCCTTCCTGAGAACAGGACGCTGGAAGTAGTATTACATTCACAAAGCAAATTTGGGTGATTTCTAAGCTGTTGTCTAAGCTGTCATTTAACTCCTGATACAAGACAGCTGTAGTCTGATGACAACAAAACAACAAAACAAAACAAAACAAAACTCAATGTAATTGGTTGGGGGCAGGGAAATGTATGTATTTTCTGCTCCAATTAAATATTTCCTCCAAATTGATCCAAGGTGATTGCTTGGTGTTGGATGAGATGATATTAACCAGTTTGGGGTGGATATTCCTCATAGGATTCATGGTACTTGGAATCATGCAGAAGTCCTATCCCCCAACTGAAACGCACAGAGCATACTAAAGACATGATTGTGAGGTTCTCTGGGAAAACATATGTCTGGGAATATAGCGACCAGCCCTTCGGGAGGAGACTAGCACAGTTTTCTGCCTGATCAGAGTTGCTTCTATGTCTAGATATCCATGAATTTATTCTTAGATAAAGAAAATTTAATCTTAGAATTTATTCTTCCTATTTCAACATTGCATTCACCTTAGGCCCAGCAGGTATTCACCAATGATATGAGGATATATTAATTGTTAAGTCATGCATGGTGTCCAAACCAAATTGAAGCATATGATGTAAATGTGATGTCAGCTTTGTTTTTCTTTCAATGTATGACTCACATTGCTCCTACTCACACATTTTTCCTTCTTGTTTTTTTTGTTTTTTTTTTGTAAAGGAATCACAGACAGAGCTATAAGGAGCCTTCAATATAATCTGATGTGACCTTTTCGTTTTATAAATGTGAACAGTAATTCCAAAAGAGAGTCGTGTTGCTTGCCTAAAGGCACAGTAGACAGTGAGCTTCAGACCTGAGAGTCTAAATGGCCTCATAATGGTTTCCTACACAAGCCACCTCCTTAAAAGGGTATAAAACTGTCACAGGCAGGTGTCATCTCTATGAATTTGGATGCAGAGTATACTAGGAGATAAACAACATCAATTTACTTCTACCCTCATCAAAAATAGTTTTTCTCAGCTTATTTAGACTCAGAAAAAAAATACAAAAAAAGGAAGAAATTGATTTACCATTATGTGCACAGAAAAAGGAACCTCTAAGTATATGTTGCACAAGCAGAGATGATTTTCTATTAATCCAAGCAATCTCTTATTCACACTGCCTTCTACTCTATTTCACGTGCTCTATTTACACCCCTAGCCCCAAATCTCCACCTTCTCAAGAGAGGCCAAGTTGATCTGGCTTAGGACATATTTTTGCATTTTTAACCTGATATTTCAAACCTGATAGAATGAAAACAATCGCAGGAAAGTGTCTGACTGTAAAACTGTATACAGAGTGAGGCAAGAGTAGGTTTACAGTTGTTTATATGGAAAATAATATGATAATAATGGTGATGATAAGAACAACAATAATACAAGAATGAACTATTTGTTTTGCATACCCACAATTATAAACCTACTTTGTCCCACCCTGTATTTGTCTTGGAGTATAAATGGGTGGGGTTAGTTTATATTATACTCAGACCAAGTTGGTGCAAAGGAAGATTTCAGTGCAGGCCATAGATATGGGCTGAAAAAAGACAGCAGGCTGTGAAACTGGCTCTCTAGGGGATGACCACCTGTGCTATTTAATGAGGCTCCACCTCAGACATACTGAATCAGAATTTCCCTAGGAAGGGGCTTGCATATTGCTACCCATAGTAAGGTTTCTAGATAGGAACACCTAGGTTTGAGAACCCCAGGTATAGAGGGAAGAATAATAAAAAAAAAAAAGGTGTTTTAGAGGAAATAATTTATAGTTTTTGGCACTATTTGTCCAACTGAGGCAAGTCCTTTAACTTCTGGGTTTCCCCTATGAGCTCATTCTGTGTTACGCTATGCTCCCTTCCCATTCTGAACTTCTCTGATTCTAAGTTCCTCTTATAAAACTTGGAGTCAGCGAGTGAAAAAAAAAGGATGCTGCCCTAAGCCAGCCAGTTGGGATACTCACTCTGAGCCCCATGAGGTAGTAGAGAACACTGATGACAGTCATGGGGAGGATGTAGAAGAGGAAGGAGGTGGCCTGGATAATGAAATTATAGATCCACATGGGCTTGATGACTGTACAGGTGGCAGAGCCCGGCACCAAAGACCCATTGGGGAAGTAGTGGAGCTTGATGCCATGGAGACTGGTGTTGGGCAGAGAGAAGAGAACAGAGAAGACCCAGATGATGCCCAGGACCCTGAGGGCCCTCCTCCGGGTGCACTCCAGCTTGGCGCGGAAAGGGTGGAGGATGGCCACGTAGCGCTCCACGCTGACTGTGGTGACACTGAGGATGGAGGCGAAGCACACAGTCTCAAAGAGGGCTGTCTTGAAGTAGCATCCCACGGGCCCAAACAGGAAGGGGTAGTTACGCCACATCTCATAGACTTCCAGGGGCATCCCAAGGAGCAGGACCAGAAGGTCCGAGATAGCCAAGCTGAAGAGGTAGTAGTTTGTGGGTGTCTTCATAGTCTGGTGCCGAAGAATCACCAGGCACACCAGGACATTGCCAGCGACCCCAACCACAAAAATCAGGGTGTACACCATAGTCACCGGGAGGAAGAGGTGGCTGCGCTGAGGCCCACAGACAAAGGTCAGGTAGTCCTCTGTGCTGTTCAGATATTTCTTGAATGGATCTTCCAGTTCCTGCTGGGGGATCCAGGAGACATTCTCATATTTTTCCATCATTGACATTAAAATCCAAGGCCCACGTTTCCTTTGGAAAGAGCCTCTGTCCCAAGATGAGACAGAAAGGAAAGAGAAAACAGACAGGGAAGCACAACCCCAGTGCAGGAGGCAGGGGAGGGTGAGTGCTTCTGCAAGGATCTCTTTTGAAGAGCCCCCGGAGAGACAGAAGCCACGCCCCTCCTTAGGCTGTGGGCCAATGAGAGTGTGTCAGGCAAATGAGAGGACAGCTGGGTTGGGCTTGCTGGCTTTGCGTGCAGAGAGCAGGAGAGGATGGGGGAGACATTTCTCTGAATTGGAAGGAGCTGACAAAACAAAGCTGACACAGCCGGTGGCACTGACTTAAGGTGTGGGCACTCTGAGCAGTGTATTTGGTAAAGTTGTGGGACTCTGAGTGGAAATACAAATTAAATTGTAGGGTCATGGGCAGAAGAGTATAAATCTCCATTGATCCTTGTCACCTGTACAGAATGACCAAAATGGGAGATCAATAGATTTCTCAAGTTATCTTGTTCCTTTGGAAATTCAGGACTCCCTGGGGAAAGCCTGATCAATGTACCTTTTTGGTTTTGATTGCATCCACAGTAGAATGAAAAGCCTAAAAGAACACGTGTCTGTCATCTAGCCTTGCCTGCTGTCTGACACTTTAATCTTTTTTGGCAGTGCCTTTTGCAAAGGGCAGTGAAGTTTATTTTATTTTATTTTATTTAAAAATATATTTTATTGATTTTTACAGAGAGGAAGGGAGAGGGGTAGAGAGTTAGAATCATCAATGAGAGAAAAACATTAATCAGCTACCTCCTGCTTACCTCCTTCTGGGGATGTGCCCACAACCAAGGTACATGGTACATGCTCTTGACCAGAATTGAACCTGGGACCTTTCAGACCCCAGGCCTATACTCTATCCACTGAGCCAAACCAGTTAGGGAAATGGGCAGTGAAGTTTAGAATCAGGCACACCCATAGAAATCCTGTGAGACTTTTTAGAAGTTACTCAAACCCTTGGAGCCTCATTTTCTTATCTGTAAATTGAAGGGTCAGTCATTCAATTTTATTCAATAATTACAATACTTTTTGAAGATTCATCATGTACTGAGCTTTGCAGAAACATCAGTGAACAAGAAATACAAGTTTCTCTCACATCCATGTTTTCATCTCTCTATTTCTCTCTCTCTCTCTCCTTCCCTCTCTCTAAAAAATTAAAATAAAATAAAAATCAATGAATCCTGGTCAGTGTGGCTCAATGGTTGAACTAGGACAGTGGTCGGCAAACTCATTAGTCAACAGAGCCAAATATTAACAGTATAATGATTGAAATTTCTTTTGAGAGCCAACATTTTTAAACTTAAACTTGTTCTAACGCCACTTCTTCAAAATAGATTTGTCCAGGCTGTGGTATTTTGTGGAAGAGCCACACTCAAGAGGCCAAAGAGCTGCATGTAGCTCATGAGCCGCAGTTTGCCGACCACTGAACTAGGAGGTCATGGTTTGATTCCTGGTCAGGGCACATGCCCAGGTTATAGGCTCCATCCCCAGAAGGGACTGTGCAGGAGGTAGCCACTCAGTGATTCTCTCTCATCATTGATGTTTTTATATCTCTCTCTCCCTCTCCTTCTCTGAAGTCAATAAAAATATTTTTGAAAACGACTCTTTAAAACAAAAAGGAATATATGAGTGGCAACACTTTTCAGTGAGATATGTGCCCTTCCTGATTTCTCCCTCAGACTCTCCAGCTGTGGTTAGTCTTTGATTATTTCAATAAAGAGTCTAGGCCAGAGGAGAAAATGAGGAATAGATAGTTGGGTAGCATTAGATGGAAGTCCTAAACTCAGTAGTCAGAAAACCTGTATATAAATCCCAGGTCACCATCAAGGGGATTATGTTTGGTCTAATGTGTCCTTGAACAAGTTATTTTATATGTAGGTAGGTCAGTGTCCTAATGCATGAAAGTATGGGTTGTTGTGAACTCCAATGATACTTGGGGAAGATACTTTGTAGTTTCCAAGAGATTTTTGCAATTTCTTGCTTAAATTGTCAGTCTTCCCAATAAAGATCTTAAGATGTCTTATCACTATTTTACATCCATGGCTAGCATACTGCTGCCATACAAAGAACATAAAGAGAACTCAATCAAGTTTGGATAGATGGATGGATACACACAGGAAGGAAAGAAAGGAGGAGTAGGAAAGAAAGGCAAGGACCGCAGGCTGGTTATTTGTGTGACATTAGAGTCTTATTTGTGATAATCAGGTTTCCTACCATCTCTTTCTGGTCTTCTGTTTCTTTTATAGGTTTTTCATTTTAGTGATGATACTATACTGGTTACCAGTGTAGTAAAAATAACTGGGGCTCTGTGGTCAGGCAGACCCGGGTTTAATTTTGCTGTTTGAAACTATATATATTACCTTGGACAAGTTACATACCATAGCTAAACATTAATTTTCTCCTCATAAAGATTTCCAATTCTTAATTTAGGATTGGTGTGAGGATTAAATGCAAAATAGTTTAGCATGGGGTTTGGCATACAGTAAGCATTCAATAAATGTTTCCTTACACTAACAGTTCAAGGAAATTGATCTATTAATGCAAAGATTTGATAGATGGCTGGTGTAGTAGTACATGGTAGCTATTCAATAAGTAGTTTGCAGTAGAATGCATAAATATGGCATTGATTTTTGTCTTCATTCACATTTTAGTTAAAGGTGATTATAATTTTGTAGTTATTTTTATATGATTAAATTTTAGTTTATTATCTTTTATTTTAAAATGTTGATGGTATAACTTATGCCTTTTTAAAAAATTTAACTTTATTGTTGAAAGTATTACAGGTTGACACAAAAGGTGTTTCTCTCCTTTTTTTTTTCCCCCCATTAGCCCCCTCCTCCCACACCTGCCCCTCCCAAGCCTTTACCACACTATTGTCTGTGTCCATGGGCTATGCATATACACACACATATAAATTTCCTGGTTAATCTTTTTCTCCCCAACACCCACCCCGTCTTCCCTCTGAAATAATCAGTCTGTCCATGGTTCTATGTCTCTGGATCTATTTTATTCATCAGTATATGTTATTCATTAGATTCCACATAAATGAGATCATGTGATACTTATCTTTCTCTGACTGGCTTATTTCACTTAGTATAATACTCTCCAGGTCAGCTATGCTTATTACAAATAGTAAGAGTTCCTTTTTTACCTCCATGTAGTATTCCATTGTGTAAATGTACCACCATTTGCTGGTTTATTTGTACCAGCAAATGCTTATTACAAATAGTAAGAGTCCCTTTTTTACCTCCATGTAGTATTCCATTTGTAAATGTACCACCATTGTTGTTGTTGTTTTTGTCCATCATCTGCTGATGGGCACTTAGGCTGTTTCCAAATCTTAGCTCTTGTAAATTGTGCTGCTATGAACATAGAGTTGCATATATTCTTTCTGATTGGCGTTTCAGGTTCCTTAGGATATATTCCTAGAAGTGGGATCACTGGGTCAAATGGCAGTTCCATATTTAATTTTTTTATGAAACTCCATATTGATCTCCACAGTGGCTGCACCAGTCCGCATTCCCACCAGCAGTGTTCTACGGTTCCCTTTTCTCCACATCCTAGCTCACACTTGTCATTTGATTTGTTGATGATAGCCATTCTGACAGGTGTGAGGTGATATCTCATTGTTGTTTTAATTTGCATCTCTCAGTTGCTTAGTGACTGAGCATTTTTTTCATGTGTTTTGGCCTTCTATAGCTCCACTTTGGAAAAGTGCCTAAATTTTGCCTTTTGAAATTGAATTTTTTTTCCACTTTGTTTTGATCTGTGATCAATTTTTTTAAATGTGTGAAAATACAAAAAGAAGATATATTTTATATGGATTAAAATCTGACCTATGTCTATTAATTTCATCTTATGGACTAAATAGGTTAACTTTCTTTGATGGAAAGCATTAATAATGTTGTAGAAGCAAACAAATAAATGAATACGCTTGTTTACCTGCACATACTGGGTAATTCACAAAATTAAAGGATGAGATAAATAGCCTGGCCTCAAGCAGGAAAGAAACCAGGTTATCTCTGAAGATGCCCCCATGGATGGCATCTCTGGGAGGCTGTCATCTGGTGCTTTATTTTCTACTATATTCTCTCCCTTTGGATCTCTGCTGATCCATTGAATTATCCATTGAGTGGATAAAGAACATCAGTGTAGGTCTGAGCTTAGGGAGAAATAAGCATGTGTTTAATTTTGGGCATGCTGGCTTTGATATGCCTTTTTGACACCTATGTATAAAATTACAGAGAAGGTTGAACATAGATTTCTAGAACTCATAGCAAGACAGAGGATGATTCTCATAAAAAGCTGAGAAGGGAGGAATGAAACCAAGACTGACCAAGAAGGTTAGATTCTCTAAGAAGTCAAGAGAAAATCAGTGATGACTTTATAAAAGGGGTACAATTTCAATAATGCGGGAGTGCGGACTACACTGATATAAAGACTTAGAGAGAGGTCAGGAAATTTTATTAAGCAGAAGAAGTTACCAAAATTATTTTGAGAAGTTTGGCTGTGAAAGGGATGAAACGAGATAAAATTGTGACTATACAGTGATTTTTTAAAAAATATCACTTAGTCTGATATGTTCTTTTACTAAATCCTGCTTTTTTAATCAATGACTTTCAGAGTAAAATCTTTTTTTCGTTGGTGGAAAGGAAATTAATGGAGATAAAAATAAATACAGAGACCCTTTACCTCCTCATAGGCAACAGTCTTTAAAATAATCATGGTTGCTCTGGCCAGTGTGACTCAATTGGTTGAGAGTTGTCCCATGTGCTGAAAGGTCACTGGTTCAATTCCCAGTCAGGACACATTCCCAGGTTGCTGGCTCAATCCCTGGTCAGGGTGCATGCAGGAGGCAGATAATTGCTGTTTTTCTCTCACATCAATGTTTCTTTCTTTCTCTCTCTCTAAAAAAAAATCAATAAAAATATATTTAAAATAAAATAAGCATGATCACCTAGATTCATGTTTGGGTATATTGGTTAAAAATAGAAGTTCCATTAATTAATTTATCTTCATGCTATAAAATGTCTAAATTTTTGAGCAAAAGGCAAGCC